CTCCCACCCACCCAACCAACCAACAAACATCTACACATAATTGCACATCCTTTTGTCCCTGCTATGCAGCTTGTCAGAGACATGAAGACGTCTGCTCAGACCAGGGTTTTCGGCATGTAGCTTGCAACTTGATTGAAGAGGATGTGGTTAAAATTTGGTTATTGAGATGGTTGTTTTTCATGCACGGTTTGTAATTTTAAACAGTGCTATTTAGGTTTCAGTAAGACGATAGCCATCATGTGAACAGCACCGCTGTCAGATTCAATGTGTGCTCATCGTGTTTACATCAACCACCGTGTGCTTCACATTTATTAATCACAAAGTGAAAACTATTATCGACACACCCACACGTGTGTAAACTTAGTGGCCGTGCACGGTGATTTCACAGAGTCGATGTTAGTTAAACAAGCATAATATTTAAACCAGGAGTGATTTCGGAGGCGGTCAGCTATTTCAGTTACTTGCTGACTTGTCTTGGCAGATGAGCTGAAAGCAGTGATCCAGACAGTGCCTTTTACACACGGTAATGAATATGTAGCCTGTTGATCTTTCCAACTGAAATTAGTTAATTAAAGGGTATTCTATAATACCTAATTAAACATGCAAGTCTGGATCAATTTTCATTCATAGTTTAGGAGGAAATAAATCATTCATTACCCTCTATACCTCATTTATCCATCCATCTATCATAAGATGTGGAAATGCCCTTGCCCTCCTGGCAGGTTTAAAAAAGTAATTTCACTTCCAGGCTCTCAGGCTTTGTAATGAATCCTCCCCTCTAGCACTTCTTGAGAACAGCAGCTGAGAACAGCCGATTATGTCTAACTGACAACCGTCAATATTAACTGACACGGGTTAACATCAAACCGCTCACTATGGAACATGATTATTTCTAAAATATACAATAATTCTTGCTCTGGCCTTTTCCCCCCTTTGGAGATATTCACACAACCACGCCAGGATTCTCACATATTTCAGCCCATGTGCTTCAAATTACATGAACCTAACATTACTGTTAACCTTTTGTGAATGGTTTCTTGAGTTGATGAATGTGGGTTTCCTTCCTTTGGACTGGTATTGGTTTCGGTTCATGTCTGCGTGGTGTTAAAATGAACTTGCAGAAAGTTGCTTGAGTGGTCCAATCCTTTACAGTGAACGCTCAGTCACATTTAATAGTTATCTAAACAAAATCGTGTAAATGTTCCATAATATGTTCCTGAACCCTTTAGTAAATATGACTTACACTCATCTTCAATATAGACAATTAACAGTAGCTACGATAGTTCGTTAAAGGTCGAATGAGGTCTTCCAAATTAAAGCAGCAGATATTTTTCAGCCCTCAAGTGTAATCATGACGGCGGTGGCTGGTCTATTGGTTCAAACAAATTAGCTCTAAAGGAGGACTAGCACAGTCGCTAACAGGCCTTTTAGGTTCTTAAAGGAATACTCTACTGAAAACAAATGTTTTAAAAACCCAACACTTTTTGCAGGCTTGAAAGTTTAGTAGCTTGCTCATTTGCGACTGCACTTGCATGCATTGGTTGCAAGTGCCGGATGTAAACAGTTATTCATGCTAATGACAAGCCAAAGCTGCGTATTTGGTAATATTTTTGCTTGTATTTGGGGTCATATGTAATATACTGCAAAAGTGGGTTTTGAAGAGTTGTTGTGGACGTCTTAAAGTATTTTTTACTGCAATGAAAATGGGTTTTAATCGCCATTGTTGGGAAGCAGCAAGCTTCAGAGTTTCAGAGACACCTTTCAAGCCCACCTAGCATCAGTGTTTCATGTTAAAATACAGGTTTTTGGTGGAACTTCGCAGCTTTATTGTAAACGTTTAAAGCAATGCTGTAAAGGGTTAATGTTTCAATATAGAGCCAATATACTCCAGCGACAGGAAATCTGTCTTTGTAATTTCCCACATAGTGGATTTAGTTGATGTATGATGGGTCAGCTATTGACTCCACAAATCAACATTATGGACATGTGTGTGTTTAAAGACTGTGCTCGTATAACCACAATTAGTACAGTAGGTCAGCGTTGCCATATCCCCAGATCTCATCACTGAGGTGGAGTGTAGTGTCATTGATGGGAAAGACGCAGGTTGGGAGAATTTGTCAGATTAATGACCAGAGTCCATCCGTGATAAAAAACTGTTGGTGGACAGGGATTTCTTGTGAGCAGTGTGAAAGAGGTTAGATATGAATGTACGTGCTTATTCAGTTGTATTCTGAGTAGCCTGTAGCTTTATTAGCATCAAGCCAAAGATCAAAACAACAGAAAAAAACCCTCCGCTCTGTTCTGCTCGTAGTTCAGGATGTACATTTGAAATTTAATGTTTTGTAAATCAGATAACTCCAACCTAAAGCTTTATCTGACTTGTGTTCTGGTGTAGAGACACAGATGTAAATCAGTTTCCTTCATCAATAGCTGTCTGTGTTAACGATCTATAACTGATCAATGAATGATTTCCTTCTTAAATAAACAATGCCCTTTTCATTGAAGAGTTTTTAACAGTTGAATAAACAAGTAAATTATTTGAATAAGAAAATAACAAAATAATGTGAGAATGTCAGTCAGTATGGCTGCTCTTGTGCGGCTGATTGATTTTCAACATATTAAACGATAATTTTGTGCCTCGTTTCCGGTGGATGAGTTGGATGAAGATAAACTTGCATAAAGAAAATGACTTTGATAGTTCAGTGTATGAAGAGGAACAGGAACAGTTGTTGGGTTTCCAAATTAAGAATATGTGCATGTGTATATGGATGGTCGTGTGAGTAATAGACTCGGTCACTTCACTTTAACAACCACAGTCAACTGGAGGGCCGATGAGGTGCAGGTGCTTAATTTATTTTGGGTGAACATACCTTTTAATTTGCCTTTTCGTGTCAAGTGGAAAACCACTTACATAGTTCCCCAAGGTCTGCAGAGTGTTTAATTGATCATATCTCATCCCTATTGTGGTAACTTATCAGGAAAGGTCAACAATACATCGACAATTACATTATATAGATATTATATACATTATTATTTGAGTGAAAGCCAAAAGTTGGAGGTTACCATTCTAATGCTGAATGGAAAGCTTATGAAAACAAACATTAAAAACTTAGATCTCATGAAAAGATGAACCAAAACTAACAATATTTGTGGCTCTCAGCTCCAAGCCCATTGGTTCCTACTGAAAATATGAATATTTAAAAACAACCTCAGAAATGTATGGTTTCATTTTTAAAGGCTAAGTAGTTTCCTTAAACAGCTGTTCATCTAAACAAATGAGGAAATGGAGCATTTGCGAGGGACTATTTTCTGCGGTGGATTAATCCATATTTGGTTTTCTAGTGACTATTTGGGGCAGCAGGATGGTGTGTGTCTGTGTGTGGGACTGAGTCAAAATAAACCTCAATGTGTGTGTTGATGGTGATGAAGGTGATGGTGATGTTTTAATAGTTTTTGGAAACAGTGCAGCTCTAGAGGAAGAAGATATATCAGGTTGTAGATACAATACTTTAACACAGTATATTCACCATTAATTCTGGTCTTTTTAATGGTGTTTGTTGACATAATGAAAAATACTGAATGCCATCAGCCTTAATCTGTCAAAGAAGAAATATTTAACCAACTGATCCATCAACATGTTGTTTTTTTTTTTACAAGTGGAGACCTGGGGCAAGAAAC